TAACTCAATGAACCTTTAGATCTTTCGCGTGTGAGATGTTCGAAGTTAAAGCATTTGAGGACGACTTGGACGTCACGCTGAAAGTGAATAGGAAGAAGTAAGTTTTATAGAGTAAAAAGGAAAATATACATCATCATTCTATACTTTCAGGTCACTAGCGTACATGGGATATACTTGGAACAACGAATTCAACCAAAATGGCGTGCTAATGGCTGTACTTTGCTATGGTGGACATCTGGTGATGTCAGGTTAGTCCTATACTCCTCAAGTTTTTACTCCTCAAAGTCATTTGCTGTTCAATTTTCTTGCAGATAATATATCAGCTGACAGTTTGATTACATTTCTGCTCTATCAGATCCAGTTGAGCGAAAATGTCTTTGTTAGTTTGCAATGTTTCGAAGCTCCCATTCTGCTCCAATAAATCTTTCTATTTGAGTGGCTCGCTTTCGTCGTTGCTGGTATCATGGATTGCGTTGGAGCGTCTCGGAAGGTATTGAATTTGTTTCACTAATTACAGAATAGCGGCAGAATCACAATAACCTAGGTGTTCGAGTATATGCATCGTAAGCCCAAGATGCCATTCGATGGCGAACAACGGCCAATTCTGCAAGGAACTATATGTTTCAAAGATGTCTACTTCACCTATCCATCTCGCCCCAGCAATCATGTTTTAAAAGTAAGTGCAGCGTTTGACCTACAAATAGCCATCCGGAGGCTACGTATATTTCTCCTGCCCTGAACTTTTTAGGGCCTTAATCTCACAATCGAAGCGGGTACGACCGTCGCTTTGGTGGGTCCTAGTGGTGGAGGAAAGTCTTCGATTGTCTCACTCATCCAGCATTTGTATGAGCCTGATAGTGGCGTAATAACAATCGATGGTATCCCAATTCAAAATGTGGACCACGAGTACTATCATGAACGGGTAAGTTCGGGGTTGTGAGGATTACGACTATTACCTTGGTAGTAGCCAATTTTACTAGGTAGCGCTAGTAGCTCAGGAACCAATTCTGTACAATGGAACAGTACGAGAGAATATCCTCTACGGCTGTGATTGGGCTACTGAGGAAGACATGTTGGAGGC